AGATAATTTGTCAATTTTCGCTAGCTCACCCTCTTCACCATTTTTTGGTTCTCAATTAAATAATTTGCGATCTTCATATCTGAACTATTAAAAATATAAAAAACCTATTTATAAAAAAAAAGAGTATTTAGCTTTTGGAGGGGGATCTTTTGCTCTTTGCTCTAATATAACGAATACACACAATTTATTTTTATATAAAAGAAAACCGTAACATCTCTCACAAAATATATTCTAAAAAATCAACGGTAATTTTTAGCCATTTCAAACTTGTACTCTATTCTACTAGAAAATAATGGGCTGCAAAACTTGGCACTCAAACTCTTTATAGTAAAGCTAATTAAAAAGCTCGAAAACTTTACGGTAGTTTGTTGATTTTTCTTTTAATATTGCACAAAGTTTGAAAGTTATACTATAGTTTTGTAAAAAAATAACCAAAATTAAATAACACAAAAGAAAAACTATATGCTAAAACTTCACAATATGTTAACTTTTCGTCAGGCGCAATATGGTGACTGTCAATTTCGGGCGCAATGTGTCTAGCTGGCACACTTTTAAAAACACAAACTAAACAAACAACTAAATTGTTTATATATCTGGGGAATACTGGCACGACATTTAGGGATGTTGAAGAGAAATAAATGTAAACATTTTCGTAAAAATCCATTTATATATGACACAAATTTAGCAGCCACTGCAAAAATCTTAAAATAAAATTAAAAAATCAAAAGGTAAGACGCACGACGTAAAATCGTGTAGAAAAAATGCAAACATTCCATAAAGATTCAACTCAAGGACATGTAAATAATAGCTAATTTTAGATGAAGAATAAAATTTAATAAAATAAATCTAAAAATAATTAATATAATACATTTGACGAGTTTGGGCGCAATGGGGTTCCTAGATAAAATTCCGCATAACTTCTCGTTCTGGGAGTCAAACAAAAAATGAGTAGTTTTGCTGTATAGAGCAATTCAAAAGAGGCACGGCGAAGTAAAAAAATCACAGATCAGTTGCACCCGACGAGGGGTTAATGTTAATTTGTTCGACCACTCTAGTGCGCTATGTAAAATTTTTTTCGATCTTTAGTTTTTGGTAGATAACGTACCAGTATTTAAAGTAGTTTCATGTCCACTTACAACCCAGTGCACAAAATCTTTGTATATTCTGAAAAAATGCATCAATTGTTAACTACTCTTGCAAAAGTCGTTATCATAGTTATTTAAAAATTTTCGTAAGTCTCCATCTTCTGATGAACTTAGAAAACTGCTTTAGGTCGAATAGACTGCTAATGTTACCTTATATCATGTTATGTTATGTTATAATTTTATCAGGCTCTTATTTATCCAAAGTTTCATGTAATAAAAAAGATTCAATTTAAATGTTACTTGTTGTCGTAGTCGTTTTTTCAAATTTTATGTTTATTATATTATATTTGCTCTTTTTTTTTATTTTCAGCACTTGTACATATTTGTATACGTAAATTGTAAACTTTTAATTTGTTTGGTTTGGTAATAGATAAATAATTACAATAAAAATAAATGTATTTACCCGTTCAAATTGTGATTTTTTTATTATATTTTCTGTCTTCACTTGAAAGTTTGTGTTTTTCGATTGCCAGATGAATTACATTTATAAAAAATGTATATTCTTGTGGCATATTTGTAGGGATTTTATTAAAGAATGAAATGGCAGCATGATTCTCTCACGTCACTCTTTGCAATTGGAAATTTAACTTACAAATCTATATGTCTCAGAGTTTCTAAGTGAAGTTGTTTTTTTGAGGGTAACTACAAACACGCGGTGCTCATTTGCCAGATATTAAATTTCCAAGTCAAGTCAAGTCAAAGTCTTGCATAACTGAGCTTTAACGCTGTTTGCGAGTGGACTACTCAAATAGGTATATATTAGGCATGGGTAACACTGCGCTGCGCGGCGCAATTGCGTTAACACCATAGCCGGAGTTGCCGTGCCAACACCAGTAAATGGAAAGCGCCAGCGCCATTAACACCAAGCAATATAAGAGGCACACACACAATTCGCCTTAACTCTTTGAAAATTTACACGTACTTTGTTTTTGCATTTGAGTGTTGAGAACGCAAATTTAAAGCTTTTAATCAAGAATGATAGAATATCGTGGCATTTACTACATTCCTAGCAATTAAATTCAGTTGGCGGTACAAGCGTTGCTCAGCGCTTATAGAAATAATAGACATGACACCACTGTATGGTGTACTGCACTGTATGACGATGGGTACTGTGGTGACAGTCAGATGGCGCCGTGTTCAATTCAATACACTGCGCTATTGCGCTGGGTTAGTGCGCTGACACCACAGGTGGCGCTGGCGTTATTGAGCTAGCGCCAAAAAAATTGCGCAATTATCCATGGTTAGTATATATATTTTTTATTAACAAATTTTCTAATTGAGCTTGAGGCCGTCATTAATGATTTTTTGTGTGGGAAAACTGTTACAAATATCGGAGATCATCACATATCCTCATCACACTTCTTTCGCGTTCAAAGCTAGTGGTACTACCAGTGCACGGGCTTCGATATTCGAAAATTAATATTGGTAGATTTTATATACAAAGAATGCTAGAAGTAGGTAGATTTTTTTTTAAGAAATATATAATAATAATAATAATTTCACTTTTAAATTAGTTATGGTCAGAGCTAACTTTCTAATTTTATTTTAGGTGTATTCGATGACAAAATATGCATTTACTGTGTTCATTTAAATCCCTTTTTTTATTATGGAAAATATCGGCCGATTTACAGCCTTTGTTGGTAAAAAATGGTAGAACATAAAATACAGCTAAAAAGTTGGTAGATCTACCAATAAAGTGGTAAAGTCCGTACACTGCGGTCTTACCCGCTAACCTAAGTTCCACTTTTTCATTTAGTCAGCCCAAATACTCGATCATTTAGTTGCTGTTATTTTTAATTATGTTATTGGGGTATTCACAACGGTGTCGTAAATGTCGTATTGTTGTATGTCGTAAACTTTTAACGGCTAAAAATATATTAAGGGGTTAGTAAGGTGCCTTAAAATTCATATTCTGAATTTTCATAGTGTTACAAAAAAGACGGTTGTGGTTTCAAGTACTCTGGACATTTATTTAAGCTTTTAAAGTTTACCATAGTGAATACCTTATATATTTTTAGAATATTAACTTGAAGGCGTACTCATTCTTAAGTATTTTTTCTTTATTATATTGTGGCCTAATAACAATTTATGTTGACAAATTTATATTGAGCTTGAGACTGAAAAAAAAAATAAATAAAATAAAACTCCATTAATAATGCACAACAAATTTTTGCAGAACCATAACAAAAGCAAATAACAAATGAAAAATAGTTATTTATTAGTTTAAAAATAATCTGGTGTATTTACAAATCTTATATTATCTCTATTTTTTTATTATTATCATTATCACGCTTTTATCAACTTGCTTTCTTGTTTGTCCAAACACATTTGCTATAATCAAAGTTTCTATAAAGCCTAGTCTAGACATCAACCTCGTCGGTAGATATCATGTCAAAGAACATATCTACAATTAGCAACACTACAGGTACATGTACGGTGACCGTCCGTCCTTTATTTTAAAGGACAGTCCTTTATTTTAACCCCCTGTCCTTTATAATTTTTTTTCAAAATAAAGGACGCCTTTTGTTCGTTATTTCTTAAACTGTCCTTTAAATCGGCTCTGCATTTTTCAGAGGTAAATTTTTAAACGCAGAATATGAAAAATAAAAATGTCCTTTATAAAATATAATGAAAACTTTCGCCAGTTTGTTTCGCACCCCACTTAAGGGTTTCTATTTAATCGGTAATCTTTGAACAATCTATAAAGCATAGGGAAAGTTGTGCCCAGGATCGCTTTGCACCCTGAGTTTCCAGTTCCACTGAAAGAGAACAATAAACCCCCTGCTGCACAGTGGTTCAAAACTGACATTCATTCACTTCACTTTTCGCTTAATTTGATTAATTGTTATTTTTTATGAAAGCTTAGAATATTTGCAAGAGACCAGTTGAGCCTGATTTCTGAATTTTAATTTGATTATATTAAATTTTTTAGTGCAAAATGCACAAAAAGTAGCAGCTTTGAAGAAAATGTATTCTTCTGTTCCAGTTAATAAATGTTACATAACAAAAGCTAGTTGAAAATAATTGTATGGTTCTCCCAAAACAAAAAAATACACAAAAAAATTTTGAAATGTTATAAAAAAAGGTTCACCAAAATAAATATTTTTTTTTTTTTGATTTTAGTAAAAAAAGTGGATTATGAACATTGAATTCGAATTTTGAACCACTGTGTGCTGGCTTCGTCGCGCAGTATGAATTATGGAAACGCATTTTGGTACATCTACAATTAAATAATATAATTAAATGGTAAATATTTGACTTAAATTACGATATGGGCAAGGTACTTTTATCATACAAGTTGTATGTACGTACTTCCAAATCATTTTGAAAAAATGTCCTTTATTTTACGTTGGTTAATATGGTCACCGTAGGTATATGGCTCCTCACCGGAAGTTGTTAAAGAAGTTCTTTTATTTTATTTATTTCATTTCACATAACGAAACTTACGGCATCTTGCCGGTTTGATGCCTAGTGAGCGCAGTTTTATTTTTCTTATTTCTTGATTAGCCAATAAATTTTTGATGCATTTGAAGTTTCAGCAATGTTCGACAATGACCCAGCTTAGCTACGAATATAACATACATCGCTTCAGACTAATATAGGATGACAACTAACTAGTTAAACCGCGAATTGTATGTACATATGTGCATGAATGACTAGAAAATCGTTTACTTAAATAAATAAACTTAATACTCATAAATGTACAAAAACGTTAACAAAAAGTTTATAAAATTAGTACAAATATAAATGGATGAAGAGTAGCAAGTGATTTGATTCAACTATATATATGTACATACATATCTATTATATACTTATGTGCATATGTAATACTTACATACACATATTTGATTGCAGGCGGCACAAATCGACGCAAAATGAAGCGTAGAAAAACTAGAAATAAAACGATCAAAGAAATCACGTTACTTAGAGGAGAAAACATGTCATGGGATTGCTATATAAAAGTTTCAAACTCTTGAATATAATTCTGGGTAAGTGCAAGAATTTTTTAGATTTAATACAATATACATACATATGTATGTGCATAAGTACACATTTATATACATACACATGTACTAAGAATATTCCAAAGCAAGTATGTATGTATGTATGCATGCTAATGTGCGCGTGTGTGTATGCACTTGACTATTTCCTGCCACATCATTCGTTACTATGCCTATGGTTTCGAAAAATTCATCCGCCATTGTTCCGCGCAACAAAGTAAATGCCATAAATCCACCATGATGTTACACAAAATGTATGTATGTATGTGTAAGTACGTATTAGGGTGTTCTATGCATTTTTGATTTATAACTGTATAGTAGAAACTTTTGTTCTTAATTTTAAACCTATATATAAGACAATATACACATACTACATACCTACATATCGCCAGCTTAAATTATAAACAGAACCAAATCGCTGTACGAATTTCGTCGGTCGGAGCGATGCCGCCGGGTGATATTCGCCGCAACAGTAAAACAGACAAAAAATTATAACAGCTAATTTTTAAGCAAAAAACAAGACCGACTTCAATCTAATACATATATAAAAATCGCGTGTCACGCTGTTTGTGATCGAACTCCTCTTAAAGCCGTTTACGCCGGGTTAGAGCAGTGAATCCCAAAGTGGTCCCGGTTAAGGATTTCTTTTTTTCTTTTCTAATTGTTTGTACAAATTTTGATTTTTTTACCACCTGAATAAAACACATCTGGCCGCACAATTGCTCTAGTACTCGAATTTTTAGATATCCTACCCCCAGATTGCCAAAAACACGGGTTTTTGCGATATTTGAGGTTATATAATGAAAACATCAAATTTTTTGCTCATTTCTACTTAGGGCATTATTTTCGTGTGTTGCAATTCGATTTTTCTTTCTCGAGATATAGTAGTTTTAATAGTACTTCGGTATTACGTCGTAAGCATGAGTCATCATAGCATGTGTAGAGGCTATTCAATCGTTATGAGCGAAAACGTTTTGTGTATTAATTTATGTATGTATTCTTGTACATATTGTCAATTTTTTGCTTTTGTTAAATGCAAACTGTTATGAAAAAAAGCATCCTTTGATTTAAAAAAACCGCCAAAATTGGTGTGCCACCGACGTGAATGCTCAGTTACAGCCTGACGAAGGACAGGACGTGCAGGTGGTGAAGTGGGTCGCAGTTGATTTCGTCAGGGAGAGGGTTATTACACCCCCTGCACTGAACAAGTGGGTAAGTAAAAGGAGGTAGTCGTTTACTTTCGAGCAAATGTCATCAATTCCATTCGCGGACGCCAATAATGAACCGTCGTCGGCATATGAGGTCACTGAAACTCCCTCCGGTGGCTGAGGATGCTTCCAGACATACAACTTAAATAATAGCGGACCTCCTGTGGGAGCTCAATATCTTCTAGTAATGGGAATGGCAGTCGGCGTCAAGCGACTTTGACAAGTCCAATAAAATATTTTTAATAATTGTTACAAACTACCAATTCAGAAATATAACTTGCAAAATAAATATTTTGGCAGTCAAATATAAAAAGGAGTCAGATGACCCCTGTCCGTCTTTCAAGTGAAACCCAATAAACACAACGAATTCGCCTCGAATTCGAGATTAGCTCGTTTTTTCTGATAGAATTATCGAGACGATACTTCGCGGCGATAGATCGGCGAATTTGAATTCGTAGGAGAGTCACCTATCGTTAGCGAATCGCGTATTACTAGTTTTTCGAATCGTTGGAGATTCGAGAAATTTTTTTCTGCGGATTGCTGACGATTCGAGAATATTTAATTTTTCTAATCGTTGGAGATTCTATAAGTTTTATTTTTCGAGTCGTTGGCGTTTCGAGAATTATTGATTTTTCCACTCGAGATTTCAGCTCGCTGGTGTTTCAGCTTGTAATTTTTTTCGACTCGACTTTTATACAAAATTGCGAAAATTATGAGTTATTAATCAATTATTATAAATGTGAATCCGTATTTAATTTTTAACAACATAAATAAACAGTAATCTTAGTTATACATTTAGATTTGTTCGGCACCGTGTTTCTTGTATTCTTTAGTCGGTCTGCGCTATAGTGGAAGAATTTCTTGGATGACTTCATCCACTAAATTTATCTAAATATCTATCTTTGAATGTTAATTGGAATGCAGCTGAAATATTGATTCAATAAACGTAAATAAACAATAGCGTTTAAGAATACAAAAAAAAAATGTGGTCAGCTGATTAAGTGAAGTGATATTTTGACCAGTTTTGCCTATTTATCTATTGTTTTATGTTTATAATGTTTTTATAAAAGTCTAAAACAGCACATAACCAGCATTACATAAATCCACATTTCAAAATTGTTAAAGTTTTTTGAATTTTTATAATTTCTGTAGAAGTTATAAATTGATATAAGCTGGCTTTATAAAAAATTAAACAAAAAAAAAAAAAAATAGGCAAAACTAGTCAAAATGTCACTTAACTTAATCAGCTGACCACAAGTGTACATATACGAGCATATGTACATACATACTTTTGTATGTATAAAATTTCGTTAGATAATTGATTTAAAATGAAATAAATCTACTTGGGGATATCTTATCATATAGTCCGATATGCCGCATAAAGTCAAAAATATATCACACCAATTAATTTGCAAATAAGATTTTACCACCCTAAGCCAATAGCATGCATTAGTAGATATAAAGGCAAAAATCTCCCAGCAGTATTTTAGGTAAGCCACTGCAGAATAAGTGAAATTCTGCAGTGAAATTTTCAAAGGCTTGCATCGTGTTTGACGGAAACATAAGCTTCCCATTTACCGAATTTTTGTTATGGAAGTGCTTACACGGCTCACTTTTTTTTTGTTATCAGAACTTTCTCCTGTCGGTCAAGGAATTTTTAGATGCAATTTTTTTTCGTTGTCTCATAAATATTTGGCAACTACTTCTCCACTAAAATATTATGTTGGGTTATTTTCCCACATCTATGCAAGTATCTATATGCATGTAAATAATATGTGCATGTAATCATTACATTTTATTATACGCAACCCAGCAAGAAAATCAAAATAAAAAATTAAAAAAATCTGTTAAAACAGTATCATTCATACCAGTTTTTGTTTTTAATTTTATACGACAAAATTTTCCATAAAAGCATAAAATCTTCCAGTACATCGACTGCTGAATCCCCTGCCAGAAATATACATAAAAGATTGTATCCATCAAAGTTTCTCGACAAACGGCAAGAAAACAAAATTCTAAGAACAAAAAAAATTTGGTTATATTTATTTTGAAAATACTGTCTTTTATATTTGCTTTCATAAGAAAATCTATTTTAATCTTCTCAAGTTTGTGAGAAGTCTCTTTGCAGTTATAAAAAACAATTTCTTTTTATTTTCTTCATTAGTTCACTTTTTAATTAGGTAGGTACCCTATTATAAACCGAAAATTCTCATTATTTACTTTAATATACATATATATATATATATTAACTTTTTTTAAATTACATTTTCCTTCTTTTAAATTTTTGTTTTTTATAAGCTTTGTTTATTTTAACTATTAGGTAGTTTTTCAAAATTCAAAAAATCAAATCCCTTCCTACTGTTAAGTGTCTTATGTCTCTAAGCCTTGTAAAATTCAAGTCTAATTCATACTAAAGTAGGTAATAAGGATTAATGTAGTTATTCTAAGCATTCGACATGGATAAGAAAAGAATTAGAGACATGAGCGATTTACGAGTAGAACGAGTATTTATTTATCGAATTTTGAATTGTCTCGTTATTGCATAGGACCATCGATATGTAAATATCGTTACCTTGATACAGAAAGGCACTAAATAATTTTTTTTCGAAGTCCGATTTGTACGAAGCTCGGTAGATTATGCACTAAGATCCAAGTAGAATTTAAAGGCAACTACAATATCAAAAAATTCATTCCAGTGTTTATTAAAAAACAGTGTTTTGAAGAAATTCGCAACAGAAGAATTATGGTTTTTATAAAGTTGTATACTCCATAAAGAATCAACAATTTTAGGCAGTTCCATTCTATACTTATTAAGATCAAGATTTGTAAAGCTATTTATGCTACATCTGCACCGCTGTTAAAATTCAATGCTTCCTTGGTCCATAAAAATACAAACCTGCTTTTTGGAACCAGCTGAATGAAATGGCAGCATATGTTTGAGCGGCTTTATGCATGTAGAAATGTACATACCTATGTGTGTATATATGTGGGTATGGCTTTGTTGTTCTTGCGCTTGTGCATTGCGCATAGCAATTCGCGAGGCAATACAACGATAGACATTTACATGGCTTGCCATATGTAAGGGTGTGTGCACATTGGGAGGAGTCAAGGTACAGTGGCATATTACCAATTTTCACAGGTCGTATTTCTTTTTCTTAAAGGCAGTTCTGTTGAATCTCGTTTTTATATGCATTTATGCGCAATCGAATCTTGATAATGTTTAAGTAGAATTTTTTCTTGAAATTGTAAATGTAGGAAGTTTTGGAAAATTATAAAAATAATAATTTTGGTTAAACGATTAATCAATTTAGGTATATCTGGTGGAGATCATCCTATTCCGATTTTAATATTTTTCAATTTAGGAGCTGGTTGACTCGCCCTGTATGAAAACAAACAAACATTCAAACACACATACACTTCTGCCCATATATACATACATATGTATATTTATATTTTACCTGCATTTAGAGGTGGTTGATTGAAGATGCTCGCAGCATCCCTTAAGAAGTAACATAATTCTTAATTAATTTATATATATTTTACAGATTCTCTGGAAGATCAAGAGGGTGGAGCTATGTACATATCGTGCGATGTCTCAAATGGCGCTCCAGTGGAACCAGAAACGGGATATGTGCCAAACAATCCTTTATTCGGTCTGGCGTTGGATAGTCCACAGGTACGGTCACGGTCGATTAAAGATATCTATTCTTATAAACATTAGCAGCACTGTAAACTAACAGACACTGTTTTCGTAATTCGTAATATTCCGCTTAGGTATTTATTGTCGGTATAAATACCGACGGACATCTTTTCTAAAGTGTTGCAAGTATATGTGGCAATTAGAGATTGACAAAACTCGTGCTTTCTACGTGACACGTTGTGTCAAGCTCTTTCACGCGTGAGCGTGAGTGCTTTAGAGAGAAAAATCACGTCATCATTTCCGTGATCGTGCGTGACTGAAATTTTTGCTGACGTTACCGTTTTTCATACATAAATACGTGCATTTTTAGCTAAAAATTAAGACATTAATGCCGAAACCAAAGTTGCGACAATGCCTTAAAATTTTGTGAGAAAGCTTAAGATTCGCCACTTCTTAGAAGCTTTTCAAGGCAAAATTTAGACCAGCTAGCTCATCAACTAGTGAAAGAGTTTTTTCTGCTTCAGGCAGAATTCTAGAGGAAAGACGGATGTACACGACTGTTTGGTGAAAACATCGACTATACAAATTTAAGACTTTTTAATAAAGTGGAAGTGTAAAGTACCATTACCGTTGATTTTTGGCATTTTTTTTTACGATGTCACTCAGTTTCTTCGTCGTTTTTTTATGTGGAGAAAATGAGCAATACCGTCAAAAAAAGAAAAAAAAAACGAAAAATCATCGGTAAGAACTTACTCAAAATATTTCTAAAAAATCTCCTCACAGTATGAGTGTCGTAAAGTTATGATAAGCACTATATTATATCTGAAATTTGTAAAACGAGTTTGTGCATTCATCTCTTGCTAGGCGTTTGGCGAAGCTTTTGTAACGAATTCTTGTGTGATAAAAGCCTATTTACATATGTATATGGAATGCTATTTATATAAATAAAGTTTCGATTTGAAAAAAATTTTCGTGAGAAAACCTGCGTGAGCGTCGTGATTATAAAATAGGCATCGTGAGCGCGCGTGAACGTGATTGAAAAGAATATAACAAAACGTGAGTATGCGTGATTTACAAAACCATCACCGTGAGTGTGCGTGAACGTGAACAAAAATCACTCACGCGCCCATCTCTAGTGGCAATGACACTTGAAGTCTAAAGTTTCGACAGAAAATGTATAAAACTCAAATATTGGCTGCGTTTCTTTATACATTCCGGATAATCCCATTTCACAGCCGGAATAAACAGAATGCGTTTGAAATATACGTTAACGTATCATCAGGAACGTTCTAAAGAATAAGTAAACAAAAAAGTTTATTCCAAACGTTCAAAATGAATAAAGAAATACAGCCATTAAGAACTCTACTAACTTGAAAGGATAACAAAAGGCGTTAAAAGAGTTAAAAAGTTTTGTGCTGTCGCTACATCTATAATTTGGATATGCTCTATGGGATTCACTGTCTATGAGACTCACCGTCGCTAGATTCTTCAAACCTATATTACGTCAAGTTCTACGAAAGGCTGTTGTGATTTGTATCCTGGGGTCTAGAAAATAGGAATTTAAATGGCCCATGTGCTATAGATATGTGTGGATATAATAACGGCACCATATCGCGTGACTTCCGTGCCCTGTTGCTTATGGTGTTTTGAACCAACGAAGTGATTCTTTTGATTAAAAGTTGAAGTATAAATATTTAAAAGCCCTCTTAGTGAACGATTTCTTTAGAATAGTGATTGAATACTATTTCCCTGCAGGGAAAGCTTCCAGTTGTGAACCAGAATGCTACCAGTTTGCGTTTCAGCCCAACTAGTTCACGTTGTATCCTTTTTCAATGTTAGCGACTGGTATTTTTAACATGGCGGTGTCATAGGAGATGTCAATTGTCCGCTCCTGCATCAGCACGCTACCAGTAGAAATACTAGTAGCATTATACCAGTTGACGGAGTATATCGCCCGTGAAAAGCATAAGTATGTCATTTTGCTCGCGGCGCTGCAACAGTGGCAATGGTCGACAGAGTAAAGCTTTGGGACGCGAAATCAAGAGATCCGAGTTCGAATCTCAGTGGGCGAATCTCTTTTTATTTTTGCTTTTATTTTTATTTGTTTATTTTTTTATTTATATCTCTTGTGTAATTTTTATATTTATTGTTTTAAAAAGAGAACCAAAAAGTTATTTATTTTAATTTTTTATGGTATTTGAGTATTTAGGTTTTTTTTTTCCAAATCAAATTAAATTTATGTACAATTTTTATTTTATATTTAAATTGAAATAATTATTTAAATCAATTTACTTACTGGTTATGCCTATACAAAGACAGAGGTCGCTGATCGCATAAGTTGTTCGAAATCGCCAAAATGGTATGCCGTCGCTTTAGCACATACTGGTTAATGAACTAGTATTTATACTGGCTGGTTTGGCATTTCACTGCGGAGAACTGGTGTAATTATAGTCCATGACGAACTGGTATCACTCTCCCATTTAATACCAGTTTTCGAACTAGAATTTCTACCAACTAGTTTACTTTTTTCTGCGCGGAACTGGTATAATTATGGTTCATAACGAACTGGTATGACTTTTATCCTTAAGTAATAGTTCATGAACTGGAATTGTGCATACTGGTTCAGCTTTTCACTGCAGGGTTGAATAAATTTTTCCAAAAATTTAGTTAATTATTCGTAGAAAAATAGTTCGGCGCCTATGCACTGCTATTAAAGTTCACCGCTATAAGCTAAAACTGTTTGAAATTTGGCCTTATAAAAAAAATGTGGAAAAACCACATTTGCTTCTGGTATCGAAAGTGTCAAAAACTTTTCTGATTTTTTTCTTCTCAATCAAAGTGTGCCATGTGAAATAAAAAAACTAAAAATTTAAATTGGAAAAGATAAAAATTGTTGCAACTTTCTTTCTTAGTAAATTTGTTTGCTTCTCGAAGCCTTGATCCATCCTTGGCAAGGTCCAGTAATCAGCGATTGTGTTGCTGAGTTGGGCGAGCGTTCCAAAAGCTGCTATTCAATCGCTTGTTTTGCATGGAAAAAGGTTTTATATGCAAATACATAGATTTTAAAAATTTAGAATTTTTGTGAGAAAAAAATTTGAACTATTTGAAATTTTTGAGTCCAAATAATTTGAAAAATCAAATCAGCTACTCTAGTGATACATATGAGCGATGCTTTGATTTAATTATTGGATGTTTTCCATGATTCAATAATAGAAAGGTTTTGTAATAAAACAGTCTTCTCGCTTCCTCACATAAAATCGGCTCCTTTACTTGTGCAGAATGTTGCTTACTCTACAGTTTCTAATGATATTAGTAGTAAAGTAGTAAGTGTAGAATAGCGACCGTTTAGCTACAAAATAACCAAAAATACCGATTGATAGAACTTTTCACGCTGATTTGAACGATACCAAATTTATTCGGCGCAGGTAATAAATAAAGAAGATATAAGAGGTTTATTTTCTTTATTTATTTGTATTTTTTATTATCACTAAATTGTTGAAACCCAAAAGTAGATAATGACAAAATATGTAATATCGAATTAAAGGTAATAACTTGTACTTTCTAAATAATAGTAATTTCTTTACCATTAATTATGCAGTTTTTTTCAAAAAAGGTTATTTCATGAAAAAATAACATTTCGATGGCTGAGTGAAAGATCGACCTATCTCGGCAGCCAGTTCGAAAAGGCCCTATCTCAGAAAATTTTTCAACAACGCTTTATCTCAGAAAACTCTTCAAGAACGCCCTACTTCAGAATTTTATTGGAAAACACCCTACCTGAGAATTGGGTTGCATAACGCCCTATCTCAGCTGCCGATTCAAAAACGTCCTATTTCAGCTTATTTTCAATGTATTTTCGTTTGGGATAGGGCGTTTTTGAACCGAGTTCTGAGATAGGGCGTTCTTCAACAAAATTCTTAGATAGAGTGTTTTTCAATAAAATTCTGAGATTGATAGTTTTTCAATAAAATTCTGAAGTAGTCGTTCTTGAAAAGTGTTCTGAGATAGGGCGTTTTCGAACTGGCTGCCGAGATAAGTCGTTCTTCCACTCAGCCATCGATTTGTTCGTTTTTAGTGGGTTTGGTCTAAAAATACGAAAAGCTATAAATTATGTGCATCAGCTGAAAGACAAATCAATTATCTTGGTGGTGACGTCATTAATTTTTTAATCGGTTGTATAGTTCATAAGATATTAATATTTAAAAAATCTAAAAACTGAAATTTAACCTTCACTTCGCACGTCTTCATTTTTCACTTGCGCCAAATAATTTTGGCATGGTTGAAATGATCATAAAAAGTTCTATTGATCTGCATTTTTCGTTTTTGCATAGCTGAACGGTCGGTATTCTAGATTTCTTCCAGCAAATGACGAATAACTTAAATCAAAAATGCATATTTTTATGTATTGTTTAGTATTTCTATTAAAACACCAAATATATTGCAAATTCGCATAGAATTAATAATACACCTTTACTTCTAATTGTATACTTTGCGTACTTTTTGTAGTACCTTTCTACTACCGTTTTCGCAAAAGGCGATCACGTTCTTCCCCTTTCTCCTACTTCCAAAATACAAATCTAGATAAAGGAGTGCAAAATTTTAGCTGTCACAAATTACACAACCTTGTATTATTGAATCATGGAAGGTTTTCGAAAAAGTCTAAAAAAGTCAGCATTGACAAGGCAACAATATTTTCGAGGTACATATTTTTTCTAAAATTTCAAATATCTAGTTTTCAGCGTTTAGTTTTTAATGCTAAAGTTTTAGTGGTGAAATGCTAAAGTTCCGTTAAATTGGAGGTGGGCGTAGCGCTGTTTCAATGAATTCATCTTTTATTCTGGGCACTTGTACGAATTTATTGTACATGAAAGCTAGACGAAGTCTTGGTCCGATTTCCAAAATTTGACTTAAAGATAACGCAACTGGAAAGAAAATTTGTATTTCGAATGGCAACTATTGTCAGTTGCTGTATATTTAGTTATCGATAATCGAAATTTGACAGTTCGACAACCAGCAAGCGGCTGTAAACAAGCTGTGCGAGTAAAATTAAATTATTAAATTAAAGAGATTTAGAGAAAAGTCAGCAATCAAGCTAAGTTCAGCCAAATTATTTGTTTAAGAGGAAGAGAACTGCACGAACGCGGCCTCAATCAGAGGACATTAAAAGGATAACTCCAATCCTCTGGAGCTACCGCCTGCACTGCAAGCAAAAGTTAATGCTTTCAATGTATGTATTTGTTTTGTTATCGTTTTGTGTTCATTTTCAAAGCATATTGAGAACTTCCAAAGGAAGCTGTAGTATAATTGGTTAATTAACAGATGAACCACTTCGTTCAACTTCAATACCTCCGCTCATAAAAGCTTGCGCACCTCTTCGATTTTTCACAGAAGGAAGTGCCACAGCAATGACTTTAATTTGGAAAACTTGGTGTCTCGGTAGTTTTAAAAGAGGTGCTTCAGTTGATAAAGAAAAAAAAAATGCGCAATCAGGAACTAAAATTTCAAGTTGTTTTTTGTTATTTTCACCATATTCTGTAAAAGCAAGCTGCATTGCAAAATGTTAATATCGTTCAAATTATTAAAAAGTATCCCTTTTCAATGTTCGATCCTAAATGCGCTCCAAAAACATTCCCAGCAATCACAAAAATGTAGTCGCCTGTATACACACTTTGTAGCAACTGCAGTTGTCAGTTGAAAGTTGCCAGTTTCCATCTGTAATATCGTTTTGGCAACTAGCAACGCAACTGAAGTTCGATTGCTATCGATAATCGACCCATAAATTTTGTTTTACATAAAGTTCTGTTACGGGTGATAAGCACCTTAAGAAAATTTCTCAAATTCAGATATTTTTGGCAAATAAATAAATACATTTATAGGAATTTTTTTAAAGACAACCTGCTGTTCAGTATTTTTTGGACTTTTTAAGTTCTGTCGTATTTAATATGCACGCTTTTGCGAGGGGTTTTCTTTAATTTTCGGATTTTCCATACGATTTCGCATTATCGAAATTCTTCGTGTTTTATTTTTCGGGAGTTTTCAATATTTTCCGGAACTTTTCGGAGTTAAACTACGTGTCAGTCAGTGGCGGACCCACAGGGGGCGTTTTAATATGGCGCATATGTATGTATAATATGGCGTCTATGTATTGAAACAGCTCCCGCTAGAACCGCCCCTGACTACAGATGTTCTGTAGACGAAAGCATCGGTTGATCTGCATATCCTTCGAGTATACACTGGATTCGGTTCCTTGTACTGTCTTTGAACCATCAGTGTACATGGTTATTGCCAGTCCTGCATCCCATTCTTCTCTGGTTGGTAACCTAATGGTTACCCTTCGTATTGAAGTCCCAAACAGGCGTAATGTTATCAGTGCTGGCTTCTATGTCAGCTTTAATTCCATTGAGCTGGCTCCTTGGCTGCCCTCCCGTATTGGTCTGACAACTGCGGTATACATACATGCCATAGATGGAGTACGGTGATAGTCCCCATTGCTTTCCAAAGCAGGGTGTCCAGATTGTTAAAAAAAGCGCAATTTCGAAAAAAAATCGCCAAAAATCGCAAATTTTTGCTTTAAATAAAATTCATGAATTCCATTTAACAAATCTTTTATGTATTTTAAAAATGAAATCATGGTATAATATAGATTTTGAAACCAAAAAGAATATAATACCTTCAGAGGGTAACAATAAATAACACAAATTACTTATGTAATAGTCATCTACAAACAATTTTCTTAAAAAATACGCATTCTTTTTAAAAATATTTGTTTCAACACATTTTGCAATAGGACTGCGCAATTATTAAATTTATTATAACTTATATTAATTGATTAATCGCACAATCCGATTTTAAGAGCTCGGCGCTAAAAATTAAATACAAATTAAATAAAAAAAAATAAAGCGAGATCAGCTATTTCCACAACTTCTTCAAAATCACCTATAGTGTCTGAATGATTTACATTTCTGTTGTTGTCATATATTGAGCTACTCAACCTTGATAACATACTGTCTGATATTGGAAACCTTTTGTCGCAGAAACTATTAGCATTCATATAACACTTTATTCGAACTATTGAATTAAGGCTTTCCAACCTCATCCTATTTCGAATCTTAGTAATATGAATTTACTTATATGTATTTCCAAACATTTTATTGCCTGTTGCGGTTTTCACTCCGTATGCAATTATCCAAAATTCTTCGGAGTCAGATGGAATTGTTCTGAAAAAATTCTATGGGAAAGTTAGAAGATTTAAATATTCAGTTTCCGCTGCTTTTCTTTCCTTCAAAGTCAAATAGTAAATTGGCAGGTCCCTGAACACTCGCCCTCTTGTGATGCACACACTTTTCTGGTGACAAAATCAAAGCTTTTTTATTTAATTGACTAGGTAATCGTTTCAAAAGTCCTTCGATTAGGGTGATTAAACATTTTTGACAGTCTTTTAATATGCTTCTTAAGTCGAGTTTATCACGCAGTTCATTAGCTTCTTCTGTAAATTATCGTGGAAAACTAAGTTTTGTATATTTTTATAATTGGATAACAATTTATTTGAAGGGAAAAAATCGTCACAAATCGCCAATGATGATTTCCTAAAAATTGCCAAATCTGGACACTCTGTTCTATAGGTCCTTTTACACGTGTGGTATGCTGCTACAGATTTCTTGGCTCTCGCGTCTAAATTCTTTTTCCAATTCAAATATGACCACTTTTTCACACCTCACGGATGGCACTTTGCACTTCACGGATGCTTTATAATAATTAAGATAAAACAAAAAAAAAATTAACTTCCATGTTGCCTGCAATGGAATTTGAACCCTGAAATTAACAAATTGTTTCAAGCATCTTTGAGCACTCACCTATAGCCAGACATGTAAATGTGCTTTCAACAAGTCAACACCAGTACGGAAGAAACTAGTTTAAATATTGACGTTCAACAAATTTTTTTTTTCACCACAATTAATTGAAGATCTGATTTTCTTCCTTGGAACGAATGTTTACTTTAACATGGCGATGTCCTAGGAAGCAGTCGATTGTCCCACTCTGCATTTGATTTCGACTACTTTAAAATGCATTTGGCTTAAAGCACTTCAAAGTCAGTATGTTTATTTTGCAGATGTCTTTTCAGCCAATTAAAAAAAAATTAGCATTAAATGCTGAAATAGTTAATTGCCCAAAGTTAGATTATTTTTCAACTACTATTAAATTTTTTATTTGCAAAGGTATCAGAAGTATAAGCTCAAAGAGGCTGCTAGGTGATTATACATCAATTTGAAGTTAGCTGCAACATAAGCAGAAGTAAGTTACTTTTTCTAGGATAATTGGTTGAGCTAAGTAAATATGTGTTAACACAATTGTCCCAGCTGTTATTGCTTGGTATGCATACACTTTCTTAATTATGAAAAAAAATATCATTGAAGTGCAAAATGCTTCATTTTAAGATGGGCGTACTTTTGAACTCGTTTTTATTTGTATTTAATATTTTTTCCCCTCAGTGTATACTAAGATGTGGGCATTCAAACACGTGCGTGTTAAATTTTGGTATGAAAGTATTATTTTTAAACACGAACATTTTTAAACGATAATCAAGTAAAAAATATTAATATTTACTATTTGTTATTTCCCTCAGTCTACATGCATACTCAGTACCCTGCAGCCCAATCAATGTAGCAAAATTTTTAGGTGTAGCCTCAACAGGAAATAGTGTTACTAATAATGGGAAAACGATTACAATTGATTACGCGAAAGTGATTAGTCACAGCGTAGTACAATGATGTATACAATTTTTTCCTCCACAAAACGATATTTTTTCCATCTTAATACGAAACAAACCATTAGTGATACTAGCAGCGATGCGCTTTAGAGCAGATTCCTAACCCTGCAATAGAGAGCTGCAATTCAATAACTGAAAGGTAGTTCGAAAAATCAAGGAGCCAGTAGACGGCACGAGGCAGGTGTGGTTGAACCTCAACGTCGAATCGCTTTTGCTCCACTGGCACAGAAAGAATGGGTGGTCATATTCGGGTTTGTTGACGCAACTATTGGGATCTACCGCAGCGACGAGTCAGCTTTGAATAATTTTTAAATAATTAAAGAGTATATTCTGGAAAATTGAGAGGACGATTTCGTGAGTTTTAATCAGTAGTATTCTTTTTATACATTAGGGAATTATTTCGACGGGAAGTGCCAGATTGTGGTGTACTGTTTGTTTATATTAACATAAGTGATGCGTGTCGAATGGATTTCTTTAATATTTATCTGCTAAAAAATCATAACTTCCTATATTAGATTTCCGTTCATATTTGAGTACTAATTAAATGTTGTTTTGTTTTTGTCTTTATTTTCCTTTTTCCGACAACAGCAAGAGTGCGCTGCGTCTTCCTGTGTTGGCTGTTTGTCTTGTCAAGGCAACACCGTTTTACCCATCTCATCGCTGACGTCGAACGACTTTGGTTGTGGCTCTTGTTTCGATCCATCCACGAGTGTGGTTGCCGGTGCTAGCATTGTTGGATCGGCACAAAACCATTTACAACAGCAGCAACAACAACAACAAATCAACCTCTCTGGCAATATCAGTACAAACAGCACCGTTAACAACACTAACGGTAGCAGCAGCACGGCCAGTTATTGGAGCGCAGATGAGATGGCGTCATCGTTTCCCGGATTACCGCCATTAGACATCGACCCCTTGCCCAGCCTTTTCCCCTTCTCCCCGTGTGGCGCTTCATACAACTTCTCCACGAATCCACATCAAGCTTCACTCTCGTATACCGTCCATCCACACCAGATGCTAGTCTCACCAAGTGGTCAAGTTTCGCACCCTTCGCAGGCTCAGACTCAATCCGCGACACATGGCGGTTCGCTGAGTTCGGCTGCCGCGCAAACAACCTGCTACTATGATCCTAGCTCAAGCGGTATGATACCTGGGTCACCATCCGTCGGCAGCACATGCAGTCAGCACATAACATCCAGCGGAGCTGCAGCCCCTCCCCCGCCACCAATGTATCCCAGCATGAGTGTGAATGTCAGCATGAATATGACTATGCATGGCTATGGCGCGGAGGGAACGGTGCCCATGCAGTGCTCACAGGTATGTAGGTTCATTGATTACATACGGTGAATTTATGTACATAAATATAAGTACAACGTCCTCATATAGATGCAATGGACGCCGCCGAATACCAGCTCCTCTGTCAACGTCCTCTACCCGCCATTATTGAGTCCAACACATTACCCACCCGGGGCAACATATTCCTTCACCGCCGATTTCCGAACGCCAACTTTGCAGCAGTCTAATCAGAGTCCTGTGCCCGGTGTTCTGCCTGCACTGACGGATGCCGTGATAGTCGAGGAGGATTCGCCATCGCCGACAAGCGATACATCGCGACATCTCTTCGCCGCTGCTGGCACAGAACTCGCTTCCGACTTTGCGTCGCCAACAAAGAGTCCCTATGAGGATGATGAGGACAGCAACGAAGAGGGCTCTGACTCTAAGCCAAATCTGTGTAGGCTTTGTGGAAAAACTTACGCACGCCCAAGCACGCTCAAAACGCATCTGCGAACACATTCGGGTGAGCGGCCTTACAGGTATAGCAGCTCGTTCGTTTCTTGGAAACATTATATGTGCTATGATTTACATATGTAATTTTTTATTAATTTTTGTCTAGATGCCCGGATTGCAATAAGAGCTTTTCGCAGGCCGCCAATTTAACGGCACATGTACGCACACACACCGGACAGAAGCCATTCCGTTGTCCAATTTGTGATAGACGTTTCTCACAAAGTTCCAGCGTCACCACGCACATGCGCACCCATTCCGGCGAAAGACCCTACCGCTGTTCTTCGTGCAAGAAATCCTTCTCGGACAGTTCCACACTTACAAAACATTTGCGAATCCATAGCGGAGAAAAGCCGTACCAATGTAAATTGTGCTTGCTCAGGTAAATTTGTATGGATTCGTACACACATGGTGTATAGGACCTGTCTCAGATTTGAGAGAGTGAAACAACCATTTTAGGGGATCAACGAACGAAGGGGAACGCTCAAACGTTATACATATTACAAACGAAATATCCTTGTTAATTTTTTGATATAGTTTTATTTAATCATTTTTACGCTGAATTATCTCGCGGTTTTCGGTAAAGAGTTTTCTATGGACGCTCATGAGGCATAATCCAGAAAGCCCTTCTCCTCCTGTTGTGCTTCTTCGCCAAGTTTTTACTCTACGAAGTGTACTAAACGATTGCTTCACAGTCGCTGTTATGCATGGAAAAGCGCTCAAAATAGAAATACACATATTTATCGCTGGTAGAAATTCGTTTTCTTCTTTAAATAGGTCTACAACTTCAACATCCTTCAAATCTTCTTCAGAAAAGTTCTTTTTTTCTCTCTTCCATAAATTGTACCAAAGAATGAGTTCACTGCCCATAATTAGATCATAAATCTGTTGAAAATGCTTCGCGTTCTTTTGTACTGGAACATTTAAGCTCTACCCAAAATTACAGCGGACGCCGGTAAAGCGGTCGACGGTAAGTGAACAGCTGCACAGTTGCCGCAGTGAACTCAGCGTTGGCATTTTTGGTACAATTGTACTTTTTTGATACAATTCCGTTCACAATATACTTTCCTACTACGCAAAACATTTTAGTATAATTTTGTGACGAATAATAAAAATATATGTATAGCTCTGAAAATTCACAGAGGGACATTTTTTTATTCTCTTTTTGTTTTGACCTTTTTGAATTCGCCTTTGTAAGTTTTGAAAAATTGTTAAAAATGCCTTGAATGAACTTTTATAACATAGCACAAGGTGTGTTATCTGCCTCCCCTTCCCAGGCAATATTTGAAAGAATATGTTCGATACTAAATCTGTAAAAATGGGAGCAATATCTTCGATAACACTGGATAACAAGTTTTTTTTTTTTTTTGGTTCACCGGATGCCACTATGCAATTCCTATGTGGAATTGGTAGGTGGTTCCGAAAATGAAGTTAATTTTTTTCTCTGTGGATAACTTGCCCTTGATATTTGCAATTTACCGTTATTAAGCATAAAAAAGAATGGTATATCAGGTATATCTTACGAACAAATCGTAATAAGAAATACGGCAAATGAAAGCTAAAAACGATTTTTTGTCAGTGTTTTTATTTTGTATGCAGGCCTGTTCATTTACAAAAAAGCTAAGCTACCAATGAAAAAAAATCGAAGGATAAATTAGAAAGGAATGAGTGGTCAAATGAAAATGCACAAAGATGTTTTGTATGAGAAATGAGCAGAAAAGAATGTTACTCAAACGCCATGTACACCTGAGTAACACTTTTTTCTGCTTATATTTCATACAAGAAGTCCTTGAGCATTTTCATTTGAATTTAAGTTGTTGAAAAGTAATGAATATCTACGGGCCTAATCCCGCGATCCAGGGATTTTGATAACGACATCTCGAAAATCCCGGGACCGTAAAAAGGGAATAAATTAACACACCTAGTGCATGAGCCATTCCATACGCCTTTGCGAGTTTTAATTGTGACAGCGCTTAAGAGCGTGGTTACCCACGAACGTGTACTTAACATAGCGTAGAAGTACGTAGAAACATATCAAGTTTGCTGTTGATAGAAAGAGAGAGAAGAACCGTCAACGTCACGGTCAAGAGGTGGTGAGTTTTTGTTAACCAGCAGATCCCATAAGATAGATCGTGTCAGCTGACACGTTCTCCATTTTTACGTCTGTGGCTAACTGCGCTTTAACCGTCGACCGCTTTACCTTCGTCCGCTGCAATTCTGGGTAGAGCTTTAATCGAATACAATGGGTGCAATCTAGACAGCGAAAAAGCTGGCGTATTTTCATTGGAAAAGCGTAGTTGTAAAGATGCCGTTAGTGAATCGCGATACGGTTTTATTATAGACCATCGCCAGTACTCATTTTCATTGACCGATGGGGTTTACTTCTGTTTTTTTTTTTTGTTTACCTGCCAAACGTGATAGAGAAATTTCTACTCCTAGATCGACATTTTCTGTAAATTTCCTGATAACCTTATATATTTCCGACCACCACACAAACGTGACATATTGGGCGCATAATTGTTGCGAGGGGGGGGGGGAAGCTGCCCCCTGCCCCTACCTGGCTACGCCCTCGCATTCGAGTATATACCAAAAATTTACGATTTACGTTTGCAAATGCATAACGTGTAGCAGGCCTGTTAGTAGCGAATCATAAAAGTAAGTCGCTATAGGTATTTACATATCTAAATTTAGGGTACTGGCAATTTTACAAGGATGCAAATTAAGAAAGAAAACACAAAATAAATAAAATAAAATTTAATAACCACGCTGTTATAAATGAACTAAAAATTAGAAAAAATTTCTCAGTCCCATGGAATTTGTTTTGATAACTTTTGATTTTGAAATTTTAGCAAAAGTCATTATAAACATTTTATGAGATTTAAAACGAAAAACATGGAGCGATACGATACGATACCAAATCGATATTTTTGCCATTCGATATCGATTCTTTTTATCCGATAGCATTCAAATTCAAATTCAAATTTTTTGGAATCGAGTACTAGGACCCTTGTATCGCATCGAATCGTAAATAATATACATTTACATTCAAAATCAATCTGAAGACATTATATTAAAAATAATTGTCTGTTTTTAACAGGGACATTCTGGCAACTGTCTTTCAACTCGCCACAGTCTGTGGAAAGAAAAAAGTCTTTAAAAAAAATTTTTTTTATAACAAGTGATTTCTCTCAAAATAGTTTTTCAAAACGAGTGGTGAATGATAGAGCATTTTTTCTAAGACTTTTGTGCTAGAATAGCAAAAGTCTTTCGATCTTTCTTGCCATCTGTCTTTTATTTGTCTTACTTTTTACTATCTTAGCCAGAATTGCCCTGCAAATTCGTTTTGCTGTTTTTAAGGAAATAACGAGGGTTGTCCAATATAAATAACTTATCTATACATACACATGTTATGTGCAACATTTCAATAATCGAAATAGTTTTAACAAGAACAAAATATAACCAAAGATCATAGAAAATAAGGATGCTGGCTATGTTAATGGCTCCCTTATATTCTATGTCCCTTCTGATAGCGAAATTGCTGCCACGTTTGTGCGGGAAATGGTTTTTGGGCCAGAGTACAGGATTTAAAAAAAAATATTAAGCGGAACAATCTTCTCAAAAGCGGCACCGTCCCGCCAAAATCGGCACGAATGGTCACCGTAACCATAGGCCCTGAATCCGGCACTGGCACCTACGCCTATAATATCCCAAAATTTCAAATAAGCTGTATAACACCCAACACATTTTTAATCATGGGTTTTTTATTTCATCAGCGACATCCTGTAAAATTATCCGCATAATTTTTTTTTTATACATTTTCACCCACCAACTGCCCTTTTCAATGAAATTAAAATGAAATTAATCAAAAAGGGTTAAGAATACCCGTTAGAACATTTAAAGTTCAAGAACATTTTATACCCCTGAGCAAAAAATTGTGATGGGGTAGAGATTTGGCTAACGCTCGACCATTATTTCGTTTAGGACTTAAGATGAAACTTTAAAATTTGTGTACATTGTTATCAAATCAGTTCTTACAATTCAGCAGATCAAGACAAATAAGAAAAAAGAACACACTGTGATTTATGTTTATGAATTGGCAAACATACTTTTGCAAATTATTAAAAAATTTAAACCTGTATTTCCATATATTCCTTTGCAGATTTTCCCAATCGGGCAACTTGAATCGCCATATGCGGGTTCATGGAACCAATCAAAACAATGTCGGCAACAGCAGCAACGGTGGTAACAATCTGTTGGCATGACAAAAGGCGCGAAGTGGCGCCGCATTTCAACATTACTACCCCCCCTACACCCACGGTGCTCACAATCTTCCGCATGCCCCGCACGCACACCCTCATGCCCATTCCCACGCCCACGCCCGCGCCCACGCCCACGCCCACGTCCACGCCCACGCCCATAATCATCCACACATGCATATACCAAGCAGTAATTATGATTATAGCAGCTATGGCATCAACGATTACACTTCACCCGGATCACAAAACTATTCAGATTATTATTTTTGTGCACTTAATAAACCCAAAATGGAAAGATTCTATTAGCCGGAACGACAGCAGCGACAAACATTCATAGATTAAGGGAAATGGAGTAAAACAGGTGTTAACGAAAATATGTATATGTACTTATAGTATATGAACAACAACAACTATGGTCTTTGAATTTAGACGAAAAGCCAATCGAATGTACGTACGTACGTAAATAGACGAGAGGATGAAAAGGAAATTAAGCGACAAAACTTTGGTTGAAAATGCTCAAATTTAACAAATAAAGCTTGTTGGTGTAATTAATGAAAAAGCTACACTAAGTAAATATGCCATTAATAAACACTCAAGAATGTACATAAATAAATAAATACACCCGAAATTTATGATAGTTGTATACATATGAATACATAAACCCAATTACATATGTAGATTTTCGTAAAAAAAAAAAAAAACCAAAAGAGAAATAATATCAAAACACGCATAAACAAATAAATTTTAGTTTTAGTTATGACCCTTTATCAGTGGCGGATCCAGCGGGTGGTTTTGGGGGTTAAGCTACGTGTCAGTCAGTGGCCATATTATACATACATATGCGCCATATTAAAACACCCCCGTGGGTCCGCCACCGACTGACACGTAGTTTAACCCCCAAAACCCCCCGCTGCATTCGCTACTGCCCCTTATGCATCGACGAAATAATAAAAAAGAAATTTCATTATGGTTTTCGACTAGCTATTTCGTTAAAATGCAATTAATTTTGCTTAAATAGTTATTATTAAGCGAAGTCTTGTCGATATTTCGCGTGCAAGTTAAGGCTGGTGCTGTAGTAGAATTAAAAAAAAACACACACTCATATTTTGCAAGATATATTTTAATTTTTTATCCAGCTTTAAGTTGAACTTATCATCGTCAGTAATCCCGCCTTGTACTCTAGTCAATGGGACGTTCTTTTGTTTTTAATGCTTTTCCATTTACATATGTACATACATACACATAAACATAAGTTTGATCTTATGTTAAAATTTTTATACATATGTACAACGAATACCTAAAACAATGCATGTATGTGTAAGTAAACCCTAATATTATTTTCATGTTTGTAAAAATTAATTAGACAAATAAAGCCATATTAAGTAAATAAATAATTAAAATATGTAAATATATTAGTTTTGTTTTTAAACTAACATCCACGCAAAAATGAAGGCGGAAACGGTTTTACATGCATACATAAGTTATGTATATGTACTAGGGATGTTGCGGATGCGGATGTCAAGTATTTAAAACAAAAACAATTAGAATCTAGCATAATGGCGAGACCGTTGTTTAAACAACGCTTATAAGCCAAACTAGATACATATGTCATGTTGTTTCAGAATTTGGAGAACCTGTAACTTTATCAGCACTTTTCGATTTTAGTTTTTTTAATTAACTTTTAACTACTTTTTTAAAATTTTTGCTAAAAATAAATTCCCCAAAGAGCCCCATTTGAAATTATTCAAAAAATATATGTAATAGGTGGTATTCGCGGTACGTCTGACTCGCGAGTCATTTGTGTACGTGTTGACTCGCGAGATGTATTTCTATACGTGTTGACTCGCCTTCGACTACACACAGTTGGAGCATTCAGAGTTTTGCCGGGAGTCATGTCCCACTGGGAAAATAGGGTAAGCACCTTACGAGGTAAGACATGTTTTCTTTCAGTTTTTAATACCAAAATTGTCATCATGGCCAATGTCATCTACTAGTAAAGCGCAAAATGAACACCTCCGATGCCACATTACGTTGTTAGTTGCAAAATAACGTGCAGCCGAATTTATTTCCAAGCGCCGAACTACTCCGAACGACTGCTCTGCATTATGTGTAACTTACTTTGAAAAGCGGCTCAGAGGTATGTCTGATACCAAATATACATTCATAATTCCTACTTACATAAGGCGGCCACGGCTTTGCTAAAGTAATGGAGATTCGGCAGGGAAGTGGTAAGGACCGCCAGGTGAAGGGCAATACCTTACCAGCAACTTACCCATGGTTGTCCACCCATGCGTGCTGAGTCGAAGAATTATTTCACTGGAACATCGTTAAAATGTGCAAATGTACAAATCGTGCGAGCCCTGCTTTAGATTATCATTTTTCTCTGAGTGGACCTGTTCAGTATGCCTTAAGAAATTTATTTATGTTTTTTTTTAATCCACGCAAATTATAGCCGAACCACTTTTTGCCAAGTTTTAAGTATTAGTTTTGTTGTTATTAAATTTTGGTTATTTTTTATAAAAATAATAAAATCCGCGTAAATCCAAGTTTCCAACTTTGTGCAATATGTATTAAAAAAATTCAACAAACTTTTTCTAAAAAAGCAACCGTAATTTTTAGCCATTTGTACTATATTCTACTAGAATTCAATGGGCTACAAAACTGCATACTCAGAATTTAATTAAAAACTCGAAATGTTTACGAAAATTTGTTGATGTTTTTTTTTTACTTGTATAAATTTTTAAGGCAGTGTCACTCGATTGGCACATTGTACAGATTTGTGCATTTTTATATTGCGCTATTGGTACAAAATAAAAAAATTGGGACAATACAGCAATCTTCTATTGAAAATTTTCAATAAATAAATTTTCGTGATTGGGATAGTGAAAAATATTTTGGGTGTTCAAACAATTAGGATACGATTTACACCAAATTTTGGCAAATACCAAATCGTGTGACACTGTCTTAAAACTTGTATTTATACGGATGCTGTTAAAGAATGAACTATAAAAAACTAACCAAAATTAAATAACAACAAAAATAATATTTTAAAACTTGCCAAAATTTGGTGCGGCTATAATTTTTTCGACTATTGTACATAAGTTGACTATGATAGTAGCACAATGCCACTATTACACTGACTTACAAACAAAATACGGGCAAGAACTTAAAAATTCCAACCCTGTTTTTGTGAAATATTTTATTTTTATCAGAATTATTCATTTAATCAATCTATGTTGAAGTAAAGGTGTTTGGGGGCTTTTGGCGGATTCCATATGGCTACCAAATTTTACAATTTTTTCTGCTTCGCCAAAGACATATATAAGGTGTCCAAAACCAATAATAAAATTCAAACAATGCAAAAAAGTGCAACAAAATTGAGCATTTTTATTGCCCCCAAAGCTTGAATACCGCCAAATTAATCCAATTTTTTATAGCTCTACTTCAAGTGGAATATTATAAGCCAAATTAGAGTGCATTTTGAAAATTAGTTTTATTTTATTTAGCAAGCTATATGTTAGTTTTCTTTTTTGTTAATCACACAAATATTAATTTCCATTCTCTTTTTTGAAGTATATTTCTCACTCGAAGACTCATAAAAGAATACTGACTACGAAAGAAATAAATTTTTAAATTTTTAGTAGAAATGTCAACTTTAACAGCTGATATCTCAATGGGAAAACTCTTTAAGAAAATAATGAGTATGTACTTTTTCACTCTGGAGAATCAGTTTAGTGAAGGTACAAAAAAAATCGATTTATCGATACTCGAAAAGATGACTTTTGGCCAGCAAATAGTAACTGCCAGACCATGGTGCAGTGTTTTAATCTAGTAGTCAAAGTTCTAAAGGGGCATATGTATTATATTTCAAAAAAAAGTAGCTTTGGTTTAGTTTTCCACCAATCGAGAGGATTTTCACCGAGATTTAATTTCACATTTTCTAATGTATCCCGATTCTACATCCGAGCCTTCGCTTTCACTGGAGGACTCTAAAATTATTTCTAGGTTGCTTATAAGACTTTTAGCAGTACTTGTTGAAGGCCCATTAGTTTGCTTAAACGTTTAGCGCCTGAAGCTTAAAACCGGTTATTGTCCGAACCCTGGTTAGACAGACTTAGAGACATTTCAACAATATTACAGTGGATTCTATGCCCCTGTACACATTCGCATTCGCAAAACATTCATATCATTTGAAGCGAATGCGAATGTCGAATGCGAATATGTAAAATGATGCGAATCATTCGCATAACGAATGCGAATGCAAATATTCGCAACATCTCTGATACATACATACATACATAATAACTGTTGGTTATAAAACAACAATCATTTGTCCGTTATCAGCGCACAGCACTTGTATCCGTATGTAAGAATATATGTATGTAAATATGTATGTACGTTCTCAAGCGTTCGTTTCAAGACCTGATGAAATTCATTACATTGTTTTCACAGTATTGTTTAAAACAATTGTAACTTTCTTCACACATACAAACNCGTTCTCAAGCGTTCGTTTCAAGACTTGATGAAATTCATTACATTGTTTTCACAGTATTGTTTAAAACAATTGTAACTTTCTTCACACATACAAACATTCATACATACATACGCAAATATTATGTAGGGATAAAAGATGTTCCATCAGAGAATAAATGAACAAATTAAAATTGGGAGCACATTTATAAGGGTGCGTTCACACAGAAAGCCGAGCGTCGCCGACCGAAGCAAGGCGGAACAAAGCGAAGCTGCTGGTGTTCACACTGAACGAAGAGAAGCGGAGCTTTTCTCTTGGANATCGCCGATTGAAGCAAGGCGGAACAAAGCGAAGCTGCTGGTGTTCACACTGAACGAAGAGAAGCGGAGCTTTTCTCTTGGACTCGGCTGCAAAGATACCACAAAATTTCCCATTAATAAAAAGCGGCAAAAATATTTGCTCAATTTTATCCAAATAATAAGTTGTNACTTTCTTCACACATACAAACATTCATACATACATACGCAAATATTATGTAGGGATAAAAGATGTTCCATCAGAGAATAAATGAACAAATTAAAATTGGGAGCACATTTATAAGGGTGCGTTCACACAGAAAGCCGAGCGTCGCCGACCGAAGCAAGGCGGAACAAAGCGAAGCTGCTGGTGTTCACACTGAACGAAGAGAAGCGGAGCTTTTCTCTTGGACTCGGCTGCAAAGATACCACAAAATTTCCCATTAATAAAAAGCGGCAAAAATATTTGCTCAATTTTATCCAAATAATAAGTTGTAAAATTCGTTTTTATTTGAATATTTCGATTACTTGTTTCCAGAAGCGAAAAATTAAATAGAAAATTCAAAATCAAAAACTGCAATGCTTTGCAATGTATGAACACTTTCATATAGCTACAGCAATTTGAAAACCTCACTCCACTCCGAACGGCTTCGCTCGGCTCAGCTCTGCTTTCTGTGTGAACGTACCCTAAGTCTACATAATTATTATGTACGTATGTAGGTATGTACATATGTATGTATGTACTTGCATATATATGAATATATCGCCACCTGAAATGCAAACAGACGTAACAAACATCGCCGCTGAAATTCAAAAAGTCGTAACTAATAAAAAAGTCAAAATTCAGTTTTTGATTGATATGATCGATTTCACACACATCATTTAATGAAAAAAAAAAACAAAAATTTAGTCACGACTTTTTCCATTT